GAAATTCAATGACCTACTTGATGCTGGAAAGAAGTCAATGAACAGATCTTCATCACCTGATACGACCTAGGCTGAACACAGTTCTTATTCAAGATCTAGCAACAGTTTAGAAAAACCACATTTTTCACCATCCGGCCCCAATTGCTGTGTGTAATTTCAATCAGTCGTCATCACCAGGCCGAGGGTCTACGCGCTTTTCAGGAGTCTCGAGAGCTTCCAGACAGAGCCGGAGCTACTCGCCTCGACAGCCCCATTGATCGGGTTGCCACGCGGCAGCAACCGAGGCGTCGGATAGAGGAAGGGCGTTGAGCCTTCACGCAACACGGAGACGGTTAACCAATGGAGCAACGAGATTGCTGACAGATTGGCTGACTGGGTGTGAAGACAAAGCATAACGACGCCCATGCTTGGTACGTCTCCGGAAGCAGTGGTTGCCTTTTCCATGTGGTCTTGGCACCATCTCATCAAAACTCGATGAGTCATGTCAGAATGTAAAAAAAGAGGCTAGTGTGTGTGTGTGTGTGTGTGTTTATGCGAATAGCTGATGATGCACACGCTGGAAAGCGTAATGGTATGTAAGAGAAGATGCTTGCTGGTAAGCCATGGACCTGAGTCACCGTATAAGGTTAACGCGGACGCAATCAAGCCGTGCTGTGTAGTCGAGGGCTTGAATGAAGGAGCAAGAGAGAGCTAATGAGAGAAAGAGAGTGCAGCCAAACAAGGATGTCGATGCTGCCGGCTCCACAAGCCCATCGCAGAGTTGTTATTGAAGGACGGGGCAGAGACAACATTCTGGCTGGATTGTGTGCTTGTACTAATGAAGCGTCTAGATGCGCGGTTCAAAGTGGCCGAATGATGACGTCGAGTGGAGAAGAGCGTAAGAAGATGCAAAGGGAAAAGCCAACTTGTGTTGCGACGGCTCCGTGGCGGACAGAGAAATTGGGAGTGACGTTAAGCTGGATGAATGGATGAATGGATGAATGGATGAATGGATGAATGGATGAATGGATGAATGGATGAATGGAT